TAAATAAAGTTACCAGTTTCCCAATAGGCCTTTGTTTGTTTAATGCAAATATTTGTAAATTGCATAATATGAATTTTAATTTCAGATCGCACTATATTATGTAATAACATATTTTTTATTGTAAATTTTATATCCGATAAAATATACAATAAAACTTTGAAATACATCATAAGTATAATCAATTAACTTTCAGAAATAAAAAACTGACTGCAAAAAAATTATAAATAGGTCATATATTCTGATTATACATGGCAAAAATTTGACTTTTCGCATCATTATTTCTTTAGTGACATTTATTTCTTTGCTCATAATACTTTTACTATACCCATCATTACATTTACATAAACTAATATATTGATTATTAGTAAGGTAAACTTATATAAATAAAATGCTTTTCTTCTTTTTTACCTTTACCCAATAACTCAATAGATACCTTTCTTTTTTTTTTTTGGAAAACATTTTTCTTTTTTTATTTTCAAATTAAACCTGATAACTCAATAGATACTTTTATTTTTTTTTTTGAAACGCTTTTTTTTGGAAAACGCTTTTTTTTGAAAATTTTTTTTTTTTTTTAAAAAACGCTTTTCTTGTTTTCTTCTTTTCTTATACACGATAGCTCAATAGATATCTTATTTTTTTTGAAAAACGTTTTTCTTGTCTACTTTACTCACATTAATCCTTTTTTGTTTTTTTGGAAAATCAGGTTTAAAAAATTCATAATAGAATTCAATACAAAATTAATATCATTTCAGCTTGACGTTCAGCTTTACCATCATCTATAGCATCTCATAGAGGTACTCCATTCCGATTAATAACACCTTATGTACAAAATCCTTAGTTTACTTCTCACCAGTCTGCTTCTCGCCAGTCTATTTCTCGATAGTCTACTTCTCACCAAAGCCATTATCATCGTTCAGTAACTCCACTTCGACAAAACTATTATTATCATTCAGTAACTCCACTTCGACAAAACTATCATCGTTGTTCAATAACTCCAACTTGCCAAAACTATTGTCGTCGTTCGGTAACTCCAGATCGTCATTTAACTCCACCTTGTCATTCACAAACAACTTCACGTCAAATTAATCAAGACAATGAAAGTCGCAGTCGTAGGTCAATTTCTCCAACTTGTCGCCGGTCAAGAAGTCCCGATAAAGGTAATTAATTATATAAAAAAATTTTTTTTTTAATAGAACTTGACTTACTGATATGACTAATAATAAATTTATATGTTAATAGAAATCCATCATTTAACTCCACCTCATCGTTCACAAACAACTTTATGTCAAATTAATCGAGACAATAAAAGTCGCAATCATAAGTCAATTTCTCCAATTAGTCGCCGGTCAAGAAGTCCCGATTCAAAAGATAAAGGTAATTAATTATATGAAAATTAGAAAAAAATTTTTTTTTAATAGAGCTATTGACTTACCGATATGACTAATAATAAATTTATATATTAATAGAAATCTCTTTCCTAAAAAACACCATTGAAGGTTTGATTAATGAAGTAAACAAACTAAAATCTAATAAAACAAAGACATATAATGCTGATGATTCATTAAATTATGTTGATATTGGTGATACTATAGATGTAATGGGTTCAACTAGGCTTTCTTGCCCAATGAATAATATGGGTCTTGATGGCCTTGATGATAATAAAAATAATAACACACCTTGTGATAATACTAACTTTGTCGTTACTACCTCGACAACCAACTCTAAAAAGGGTAAGGAAAAATGTGACATTCCTGTAAATAATCTAAGGAAGCTATCAGTCACTCTGGAACCTCTTTCTGGATATGGTAAAAAAATCTCGCGAATATCTAGAACCGATGACAGCGGATCAATATAAGCTCTTTCATATAAATAAGTATTATTATTATCATTATTTATTAATTATTGTTATTAATTATGGTTATTTGATTATTGTTATAATTATCTTATCGTTACTAATTTATATTAATTATCACTATAATTATCGTTATTGTTATTAATTTATATTAATTATTGCTATAATTATCATTATTATTACTAATTTATATTAATTATCGATCGTTATTGTTACTAATTTATATTAATTATCACTATAATTATTGTTATTGTTACTAATTTAATTAATTATCATTATTAATTATTTTATTAATAGGATAAAGTAATTCAAATTTTAAGTGGTCTAGATAATTTTCTTCAATTTGACCCAACAAAAAAATGAATAGATATTGTTTGTTATATACAAAAAAATACTATATCAGCGATTGGTAAAGCTTTGGAGGGTTGTTTTTGATTTAAACTTACAGAACTTAAGTATGTCCTTCAAAGCCTTCACCGCCACCAATGTGAAAAATGGCAGATCGAGCAAGATCCGGAAAAGGCAAAGTTTGATAAAAAAAGAAAAGGAATAAATGGTCAATGATCAAATATAAGTATAATTTTTTTTTTTTTTTTATAAGAATTCCAGGATGCCAATATTTATTATAATTATATTTTATTATTTATAGAAAAAAAAAAGTTCATAGTATAACTCATATGGTTAATACCAATGATAAAAACCTTAAAGCACTTTTTCTGTTGATAGATTTTGCTGATTTTAAAATCAATATTGAAGAAATACTTAATAATGGAAACTTTCATTCTGATAAATATTCAGAAATAGATAAAGAGTGAACATTGTCAGAAAAACATCTAAAAATAAGACCAAAAGGAAAGAAAGATAATCATGTAATATGTGTCTACAATAAGCCGTAGAGATTACAAAGAGTAAGTAAACATTTTGTAGTTCCGTTTTTTTTTTTTTTCTTCTTAATAGATGCTTCAGGCACTATTTTTTCTTTTTTTACTTTTTTTGATAATAGGTTAGAAAGATTCTGCAGTTGGCAAATGAAATAGGTGAAAAGACTTCACATATTAAATGTTCGAGGAAGCAGTGATACAACGACAACAAATGGTCTGATAAATTAAAACCACTAATTGATGCTCCCGAGTGGGCTATTTCAACTTCTTACCATTCGGAAAAAGAAGAAGAAGTAATTTCAAATAGTAGTAATAGCAATAATGAAGGTGTAAGTAGCAGAAATAATAGTGAAAGTAATGGTGGTAGTGGTAGTAATGGTGGTGGTGTTAGTGGTAGTAATACTAGTGATGAAAATTACGATGAATTACGTGACAATCGAAATGATAATTCTGAGGTGAACAAGGAAACAATGAAGCTTTCGATGTCAATTCCAGTGAATAATCTTAGGTAAGTAATGATATTTGTATTTTTTTATTGTTATTTTATTGTTATTTTATTTTTTTATTTATTTATTTATTTATTTTATTAAATTTTTTTTATATATAAAGCATAACGATCTTAATAGTTCAAATGTTCTATTGAATAGTCAATATTAACTTTTAAAATTTTAATCATAGCTTTTTTTGATATGCATATAGCTTTTAGTATTAGCAAATAAACAAAATGTATTATCACTGTAATAATTGATTCAATATACAATTTTAATAAAATGTAATATATACATATAAATAATAAATGATGAATGACTATAAACTATCAAATAGTTCTAAAATAATACATCAACCGGATTTAATTCAAATACAAATTGGGTTACTGATATGACTATGGAAAGTATCTTAATATTTACAAAAAAGTCTCATATTTGGTCCCAGTTTACTTTAAATATTTAGAAAAACAATATAACTTCCATATACAAATCGGGATACTGATATTATTTGGTAGGTAGCTTAATGTTAACCGAAAAATCTCGTATTTGCTCCTGGTTTACTTTAAATATTTAGAAAAACAATACATCAACCAGATTCAAATCAGTTACCGATAGGACTATGGAAAGTATCTTAATATTTACTAAAAAGTTTCATATTTGGTCTCGGTTTACTTTAAATATTTAGAAAAACAATATAACTTCCAGATACAAATCAGGATATTAATATTATCTGGTAGGTACCTTAATGTTTACCAAAAAGTCTCATATTTGATCCTGGTTTACTTTAAATATTTAGAAAAACAATACATTAACCAGATTCAAATCAGGTTACCGATATAACTATGGAAACTATCTTAATATTTACCAAAAAATCTCATATTTGGTCCCGGTTTACTTTAAATATTTAGGAAAACAATACAGCAGCTGAATACAAATCGGGTTACTGATTGGACTATGGAAAGTATCTTAAAGATTGCCAAAATGTCTCGTATTTGGTTCCAGTTTACTTTAAATATTTAGAAAAATAATATAGCTTTCAGGTTTATTTAATATTCAAATCGGGAGACCAATTTGAATATGGACATTTCCCAAAAAGTCTCGTATTTGCACCAAAGATCTGTTTACGATCAGAGACTAATTGGGTTTTATTTACCGGTAAACATACATATGCATATAGTTTAAAAATAAGAGACATATCAGAAACCCGATTGTTGTCTAGTATAGCTTCGTTCAATCTGTGTGAGTGTTAGGAAGCTAGTCATCAAGTATTTATTACTCATGTTGGTAAGCTTGTCCCCGAGCTACTCTATCCTTCCTACTACATTTTCAATACCCGCTTTCCTTTTCTTCTACTTTTTTTTTTTTTGGGAGGGCTTGAGGGGATGAAAGAGCCAGACTAATGTCAGGCAGCGAAAGAAAAAGCACTAATGACTACAATTCAGCCCCTTTAACTTATATATACAATGCATCAAATTCTTACATTTTCCCATTTAATCTTAAACAGCAACAGCAAGTTGTCATTATGCTCTTAAATCTCACATGTGAAGATCCTCATGATAATAACCTTAGCATGACTTATGTCATGCATCAGGCTTATTATTCTCACTTGAATCTATTTATTGGGTTAATGAAAACACACTATAGGAACAAAAAGAGAATCGCAAAAGAAAATAATAAAGATGCCCCAAACTTTCCCTTTTTATTTTTTATTATTTTTTTTTTTTATATATTTTTTTTTTTATATTTACAAATAACAAATCCTGACTTTTTATCTTCCTTCTATCTCTAAGTATTTATAGATCAATTTTACAGGACAATATGATGAATTTGTAGGGTCAATTGGTATGAATTTACCTTTTGTAAATTGATCTGTTTTTGACTTATTTATTCTGACCCACAGAAACCCTCTTTCTATCTTAATATCTGCAATATGGAGATTACAAAGCTCTGCTGGCCTTCTTATTATTCGAAGTCACAATGCTACTAGTGCACAGTTCCTTGTTTTCTAGCCCCCAAAGATGGGTTATTGATATAATTCTGCAGAGCTTCAACAGGAAATGAGTCTTGCAGCCATACTGCTTCCTTATCATTAGCTGCATGTTTTAGGCAATTTCTAACAAGATGTTGCACATTAAAATTCTGAGTTGGATCTGGAATTTCTAAACTATGATAATGATAACTTATTGAATTTGTATACCAATGAAGCTTTTGTAATTTTGATGACAGGTCCAACCAGGTAAGAAATATCATAACTGTCTCAGGTTGAGCCAGGCATGAACTTAGCTTGTAGAAATTACAAAAAGCGACAAATTCACCCCATAATGCTATAAGACATTTACTATATACCGATCTAGGCTTTATAGTTTCATAAGCTTTTTCAAGTAGATTTCTTAAAACCAAATTTTTATCACCTGAAACTTCCATTGCTGGTTTTTCCAAGGCTCCAGAATTAAATTGCACCCCGGGTTTGGTAAAAAATAACTTTTTACTAGTGAAAGATCTAATACCTCAATCTACTTCTGCAAAAGAACCGGCTACCATGTGGCTGAGATCCAAACTGGTAGTATTAACACCACTTGTGCTCAACACTGAATTCTGTATTTGAATATTCTTTGGATTAAACTCAACGGGAAGCAAACATAATTGTTTTTCTGCTCCTAATCGGCATAAAACAATCCACTGCTTCTGTCTCCAGACAATAATAATGACTATTGAACTAACCCACTTTTCTTGTTCGATAACTTGCCATTCGATCTCTTGTGAATGGTCCCCATCTCTCGTTTATTACAATAAAAATGTTTTGAGTCAACTCCCAATCTGACTTGTCAAAGAAGTAAGTTAACTCATCTACCAGATTTAGCTGCAAAGGCACCCAACAAACTCATGAATTTGAATATCATGTTCATCGCAAAAATTCTACACTTGACGCATTATATCCTTTTGCTATGATCTTTTACTCCTTGCCTCTACTGTTTTCTATACAACTCGATTGTCTATATACACAACAATCCAACAATGTGCAATTAAGTCAGCAAATACCTCCAAACCTAGTAATGTCACTATTGCTTCGAAAAGAGCAATGTCTACATGACTGTGACAATATTCCCAATTCACAAAGGCCTTTTTCCTCTTCAGAGTTGCTGACCACTCTGTGGTTGAAGTATCTACATAAACTAAAACTATCTGAGAAGATTTTCAAGCCCAATGACTATTTTTTCTTACTAAGTTTTCCTGCAACCATATTATATCTTTTATGGCTTGTTCTGTCAATTTTACTAGATTGTTCCACTCCCATTTTCTTTGATTTTTTGTATTTATTATTGAGTAAAACTCTAAGCAATGAGTTTTCGCATATATGAAGACTTGACTCAAACTTATTATCTGTCTGACAACTGCCAACAAGCATCAAGCTGACAAAGGGTTCATTGAAAGAAGATTCTGCAGACTTTTCAATGTTTTGCTGATCTTGGATTCTGGTGCGATCACATAACCAGTTCTTGTATTCAGTATTAGGCCATAATACTTTGGTTCCTGGGTAGGCTCTGGGCAACTTTTCTTGGACAGAACAAAACTGCAATTTCTTAAATCTTGAAAGATTGCCAAATCTTTTATATAATTTAGCAATTTCCTTGCATGGGTGCACCACCCAGATATTGTCAAGATGATTGCTACAAAAAATTTCTAACAACCTCAAAAGACCTATTAACAGCTTCATTATCATGGCAAAAGTCTATATGCTAAGCTTAGGCCAAAGGTAACACCCAATAGTGATACTATTTTGACCCTATTCTGAACTCCAATAGTCTTTGTACTTTCTGATCTATTAGAATGTGATGATAACCCTTCTTTAAGTCCAGCACTATTATCTACTAATTTTTTTCTGTCATTCGCAAGAATATCTTAAACCCTTTGAATCTGAAAGATTTTCTGAAAGTGTTTTGTTTAAGCACTTCAAGTCTATAATCAGGTGACATTTCTTTGAACCGGGTTTCAGTATCAAAAATGTTGGGCTCACTTTGAGCAAATGTGATAAATGGTTCTAAAAATCTGCAACTAACACTATTGCTCTTATTCCAACAACCTCTGAATCTCCATTTCTACTTATAATGTCTGATCCTGTGTTAATATATATTGGGGCAGATCCAATTGTTCTATTAAATTTAGCAACTCTCTTAGGTACAATGGTATATAATTTTTAAAACCAACTCTGGAGCCTGTATTTTTTGTCTCCAATAATTTACATGTTCCTTTCAATATATCCGCTCTACAACTACAGTTAAACCTCCATAAGTGCACTACGTACAGACCAGTTCAATTGTACATTTAGAGAAAGCTAATCAAATTGCAGCTTTTAATGTTTGATCCGCAGGTTTGTGTAACACAACTTGAATACTGAATTCTGATTGGCTACGTACATTTATGGAGGTTAGTATAATATAGAAAATCTTTTGAGTGAACATGCATTTGCAGAATATAGAACGTGTATTTAGCACTAATGATTTTTTACAACCAGGCCAGAAACGTGCATTTAGAGAGGTATTGCATTTATGGAAGTTGCATTTATCGAAGTTTGACTGTAGTATTAATTGCTGTGCCTGAGTGTAGTCAATTATGCTTATTTTTCTCACTTGGTCCCAAATACTTGTTTCTATATATCATATAACCTCTTGACTGAACCTGAACTCCCTTTTATGTCCTGGGTTTTGGAACAGGATGCATTTGTATAGTGACCTGCACTATCACAAATGTAACACCTATTTTTTGTACTAAACTCCCAATTACAGTTCTAAATTCTGACCAAAAAAACTGCCCTAAACTTGCTTGATATTTAGATGATAAAGCATTTAAATTTTGATTATATTAATTACCCCGCCAGTAAGGCTAGATAATTCCTTCTTCTGAACCAAAAATTTTTTCTTTTTTATTTTTATACATCTCGGCTAATTCTTTGGCCTTTTAATTAACGATTCCTTTCTTTTTAGTAACTTATCTTGTGTATTTGGCAAAGCTACCGCTACATCCCAACTGAACTCTTCTGCAACTCATAAAGTAACCAATCTATCTGCTACAAACTTTCATGCACTAGTCATATGATTTAAAATGTTTATTGTATCTTGCAAGTCTGACACTAAATCTAGTTTTTTTCCAATCACACACAACACATCATATTCATATTAATCTCTAGATTTATTGAACTTATAACTTGGCCAGGACTCATTTATTTCTACCTTATTTACCTGGGCTGCCACAGAATTTAATTTATAGTTAAAATCTGCTATCACACCCCTCAAATTTTTAAACTCTGAAACCAATAATTTCTCAAGAGAATCACCCTGATTATCACTAATATCCTCTTGTAGTTGCCGCTTATTTTGTTTTACAGTATTTTTACATGACTGATCACTTGCTCCCTGTGCTAGTGTAAAGTTTATTTACTCTTGCTGATTTGTCAAATTCTGGCGAGAATTCAACAATGGTTCTTCAAAAATATTTTTCTTTGTTTGCTGTACATGATCTCTTAATGTATTAATTTCAGGGCTTTCACCTGTTGTTTCTAATTCAGCCAAATGTTGACCAAGCAACAAACTTATGTCTTCTGCACAAGCTTCATTACCCTTGATAGTTAAATTCAGATTTTCTGTTAACAAATTCAAATAAGACCTTAGCCTCTGAATTAAATCTGCTTTAATCTCATCCAAAAACAACTCTAAACTACAACAAATTTCTTCTAAATTATTTTTTTATTTTTTATTTTTTTAAATCTTTGACAGTCTTGCCAGTGCTCAATTTATTGGGATTATATTTCAGATGAGAGCTAAGCTCTCTCAAACAATACATATGGGACCTTTGCTAGGAAAATCACCCTTCGAGATTTTCCGATCGGGCAAATTCGGACAAACTTAGACCAGAATATCGGTTCTTATTTACATGTAAATCAGCCTTTACTTTATTGATTCTATAGTATATTAAATAAACTATGGAATCAATAATGTAAAGGCTGAATTACATGTAAATAAGAACTGATATTCTAGTCTAAGTTTGTTCGAATTTGCCTGATCGGAAAATCTCGAAGGGTGATTTTCCTAGCAAAGATCCCATATATCATTCATAACCAAAAAACAGGGAGTCTCGCGATTGTGAGCCTAACATCACCCGGCTGCGATAAATGTGCCTAACTGCGACTTGTCGCACCAACCAGTATACAAGTTAGATAAACTTTGTTAGCCCGTCAAAGCTTTTCCCTTCATATCTTCTTTCTTTACCGAGAGCAAAAGAAAGTAATAATCTCATACAAAACCACCAATAATACCAAGAAAACAAAACAAAAAACTAACTAAAATAAGACAAATAGAACGAGGGGTGTTTTTAAAGAAAAAAAAAAAGAGGGTACAATGAGATGTAAAAAAAAGAAACACAAAGAGAAAAGCCCGAGGGCTAACAAAGGGGGGAAACTACCTCTATAAAGAAATAGCATAGGGGAGACGAAATAAAAAAACAAAACAAGAAGAAATACACTATTATAACCCATGCCAGATTTAAGAAAAAATTTTATAACAACTGCAACATTTGTATATCTCGACTATAATATAAAACCTTTATTATCCGACTACTGGCCAACTCCAGATGCCTCTTATACCAGAGACCCGATCCCAGTCACGTGGAGGTCCCGTATCTATAAACTACGTCACATATTATATTCACCGATAAACAAGGCACGTGGTTGCATTCCTGGGTACGTCCGAATTTGGGAGGTAAACAATGCCGATCTTTTGAAGAGGGTAAGCCAAATCACCCACTTTTTGTTAAAAATTTTGGAGAAGACCAACAGAACCAAGAAAAACTTAAAGAAGGGACCACTAGCACCCAAAGAGAGTATTTTATTCTTGAAAGAACTGATGACTAGTAACCCTTTTTCAAGGAAAGTGAAGGAGCTACTGTACTTAAATAGTGAGTGATAAACTCTAAACTTGTCAGCAAGTAGCATATGAGAACTACTACTAAACGACAAGTGCCATGCCAGCAGTGAGTGATAAACTCTGAAAAAGTTAGCAGGTAGTGTATGAGAACTACTTCTAAATAACAACTGCCGACTTATAGATTTTAGTTTTATGCTCTCCATTACTTACTGGTTACTGTTTTTACAAAAATTGTTTGGGAAATTTTGGTTTTAGTGATAGTTGGAAAGAGTTTATGATCATCAATTAAATTAAAAAAAAGTTAAATTAAAAATATATATAGTAAAACCTCTCTAAGTGCATGCCCTTAGGACCAGGCTATAGCATATACTTAGAGAGGATGTGTATTTATAGAATTAGTATTATTTTTACTCTACTACAACAATTAACAATATTCTGAGTTTTTTTAATAACCATGCTCATCTTTTATATCTACCTCTTTGAAAATATCCAACAAAACTACCATTTCAATTGGTAGAATATTTATATTGATCACGTATATGCATTTATAAAGAGTGCATATATAGATCTGGGCTATAAAACCTATATATGTGCAGAGGTTGGAAGTAGGGATAAAAGAAGGGTCCTAGGACAAAATTACCATATTGTATTCAGAACGACCTCTAACCTCTTTTACAAACTCTTCTAGATATATT